TGCTTTTGCCCCAGATCCCTCTAAGTGGCCCCCTCAAGGATTGAACTCACAACTGTGGATTGAGCAGGCCAATGCTCAAACCACTGAGGCTACGTCTTCACTACCCGCCGATCCGGCGGGTAGCAATCGGTTTATCGGGGATCGACTTACCGCGTCTCGTGAGGACGCGGTAAAATCGATCCCTGATCGCTCTGCCGTCGACTCCGGAAATCCACCTCGACAAGAGGCGGCAGCGGAGTCGGCGGCAGCGGTCGGCTTTCCCCCGTCCTCACCGCCAGGTAAGCCGACCTAAAATACGCAACTTCAGCTACGGTATTCACGTAGCTGAAGTTGCATATCTTAGGTCGGAACCCCGCTGTAGTGTAGACCTAGCCTGAGCTACCCCTCCCTCCAATATGCACCTAAATATAACCAAGCTTGGTGTTTAAAAAGTCATTTTTGCACATGCAGAGTATTAAGTTTGGTAACACCAGAAGGTACAAGCATAGGACTAAGTACTGGAGGTAGTGTGTATGTGGCAGGTTTTCAAGGTAGCCAGCTTTTCAATACAGTAAACGCTCTTGTCCGGCCAAATTCTGCAGTCCTTAAATCAAGCAAAACTCTTACTGAATTCAAGGGGAGTTTGCTTAAGGGATTAGTTAAATCTTAATGCATTGCTGTCTGAGTTTCAATTCAAGACTGCAAAATTTGGCCCATTATATATAAACTTTCTCTACTGCAATTATTATGCACCAGGCTCCCCACGACAGAGCAATAGCTGCAGTGATTACTAGAGTTTCTTCCCTTCTTGCAGAGATTATAAACTCAAAAACAGTGTGGTGATTACTAATTCTACTGGCAAAAAACAATCACTATTGTTCAAGGAATCTATCCTCCTCAAACCTAATGACTCTGGATTGATTTTCTTGTGTGCAAAATAGGGAAGTTAAAATAAAAAAATACTTAAAATGTAGTACAAAGGCTGCCCTCGAGCAAGTTACATGTGTATTGCCTCCCCAGCAGTCTGGGCGTGGAGAGACTGAAAAATGGTTGCAATAGACAGAGCCTGTTTGGAAAGCATAAGTATTTCTACAGTGTGCTGAGTTTCATAGCTCTAGGCAGGGTGACCAGACAGCAAGTGTGAAAAACTAGGAGAGGGGGTGGGGGCGTTAACAGGAGCCTACATATGAAAAAGACCCAAAAATCAGGACTGTCCCTATAAAATTGGGACATCTGGTCACCTTAGCTCTAGGACAGCAAGGAAAGTTGAGACGAATGCTAGCAGCATTGCCCCATAGCTGCATTTTAGCTAAGGCATAATCTTGTCCCACCTGCATGAACTTGGTGACCATTTTAATTATTTCTTCTGCCAGTCATAGCAAAATCCTTGCAAACCAAAAACAGAGACAGGGCACATGGCTAGGCTAAGGGTGAGCAGTAGCCTATGCCCTGCAGAAATACCTGAGAGATCACAAGTATCAGAGGGGTAGCCGTGTTAGTCTGAATCTGTAAAAAGCAACAGAGGGTCCTGGGGCACCTTTAAGACTAACAGAAGTATTGGGAGCATAAGCTTTTGTGGGTAAGAACCTGAAGAAGTGAGGTTCTTACCCATGAAAGCTTATGCTCCCAATACTTCTGTTAGTCTTAAAGGTGCCACAGGACCCTCTGTTGCTTTCTGAGAGATCACAGTGGTTCCTTCTGGCCTTGGAATCTATTACATTAAAACAAACTGTCTGGATTTCTCCCTGTACGGTATTTTATGGCTGGGAAGATTAAGCAGATACTGTGAAATCTGAACCTGCCTGGTGCATCATCATCACTTTTTGTTGTTACAAAACAACCCAAAGGACAGCACAAGGATTGGTTGCAAGTTTCCAAATTGACTTCGCAAGGGGAACCCAGCACAACTGATAACCCCCAGCAATAGGATGTTCTAATTTCAGGGACCTGCAATAGTGGGATTAGAGTACAAGACTGCATTCATACACTGATAGATTCCAAGGCCAGAAAGGACCACCGCGATCATCTCATCTGACCACCTGTATACAGGCCAAAGAACATCCCCAAACTAATTCCTAGAGCAGATCTCTAGACAAACATCCCATCTTGATTTGAAAATGGTCAGTCATGGGAAATCCACCACGACCCTTGGTAAATTGTTCCAGGGGTTCATTACCTTCTCTGTTAAACATTTACACCTGATTTAAATAGATCAAAAAGTGGCAGCCTCTTTCTGCTTCAGGTGTGAGGAGGCTGTAATTCTGCTCTCTCACATTTATGAATATATGAATGCTTTGGTATCAGCAGGAACACTTTGATCAGCAATGCAATACCCCTAGCTGCAGTAATTACTTTCTATAGTGACAGGATAGGGCTTAGGTATGCCTAAATGAGATAACAGGGTAAATTGCTTTCACTCTGGAGAGAACAGGTCATTGTTCCACCACTGTCCTTGAATATGCATTGTAACCATGCGGTCCTACCCTCCTTGGTTTAAGATAACTGCCGCTATATTCTTTCACATTATCAGGAACTTCTGGTATTGATTTCCCACCATGCAAGGAGCTGTAAACGGTTGGTTTAATACTACAACCTTGAAGGGATCAGAGCTGCAATCAATTGTTCACGCTGGCGGAGATGTTTGTTACTCTCAGGCTTTAGCAGAGGTGGGGGTGCTGAGTGCCATTGAACCAAACTGTAAACCCTGTATAAGATGGAAACCACTCAAGCTGCTGCACCCCCAGCACCCCTAATTCCAGCACCTATGAGCTTCAGTCTCTTCTTGTCTTGAAGATGCCAGAATGGGCTTTTCATTGCATATCGGAGCACGCTGGCTCTGGTCGCTTCTGCCCACTATTCGTAAATATTACTTACATTAATGTGAACTGAAGCAGGACTGCTAATGACTTACTTCCTATTAGCTGTTCTAAATGGAGTAATGGTGTCCCAACAAGCCTGGTTCAGTGATGAGCTGGGATGGGGGAAGGAGACATTCCTTGGGGTGTAGAGCACTAGCAAGTTGCAACACCGTTATAAGCCTCTGAAACATCTTAGTTTGCACATGCTCAGTAAGGGCTTACAATCTTAGGAGCATTTACCTGTCAGACTACCTGTACTGGGCATGCTCCATCCTAGGGCTGAGCACGACTCTCCATGCAATTGCTCCTCCCAGCTGCTGCGTGCAGGGCATAAAATGTTGCAGGGCATAAACGCTAACGACAGGCAAGTTTTTCCTCCAACTATTCCAAAGCAAGAAGGAAACAGGCTTCACATCCATTTGGAATGGCTTGCCCAGAGGTGATGCTGAAAACACCAAATGCACAGTGCAACCTATTTTAAGGACGCACCCAAGAGCTAGCAAAAGGCATGTCTCTCGAGGGCACCTATGATACCAATCCAACGTCACTGGGAGTTACAGTAACTCAGCAAGCGTTTCTGCTAATCAGGCCCTTTAAAGAGTGAGCCACTGTGTATTGGAAAGCTTGGGTGAAGAGCCCTGGACAAGGTGCATTTTCTCTTGCTTTTTAAAAAAAAAAGATGGTTGAAAAATGAGAGTTTTAATCCCCATCCGAAGGACAATAATACTAGGGCAGCTGGCCACACACACCACCACTTTTTCCTAGCTAATCCATGTACAGTGAATAATGAAAATAGGGACACACAGCTAATGTTTTTCTTGCTTACAGGAAGGTGGATAGTTCTACTCCAAGCCACAAAAGATCGAAATTCAGCCTCAAATGGAAAGTGGTATTTTAAATAAAGAGAGTCATCTTGGCTTAGAGACGTACTATATATGCATAGAAGTACAGTAACTACAGAAAGTATTTTAAAAGTTAAGATTGCTGTTGCCTGCAGGAGTTTTGGTTTTTTTTAGTGTCATCTACACATACCATTAACCTAAAACTTGTGGGAAAGGTCGTGAGAGGTTTACATGTAGGAACACTGTGGTTACCACACTGCTGCACCTCCTCTGCTAGCAGCTTGGGGACTCATCAGAAAACAGTTGCAAGACAAAGTGTTCCACTTACCTTAGGCTGTGAAATTCAGAGGGGTTTAAAATTGAGAGAGATCACACTTTGGCATTTGTCTGTCTAGACTGGAAAATTCCCAAGCCTCTGCACATGCATTAACAGTAGTTTTGGGCAACAGGGTAATTTCCCCATCCTAATGTATTAGCAAACAGAAGCAGTAAGATCTTGCTTGAGAACAAAAGTATTGGAGAACAAGTGAGCTCCAGCTGTAACACGTGCTCTTAGCTACAATCTGGAAACAGTAACGTTTAATGACATTTTCATAAAACCTTCTTTAAAAAAATCACTAACATCCCACCTCCCTCCAAACATACCACAGGGTGCATGTAAAGGAAGCAACAACAGTCTTGGCACGTTACCAATAATATTAAGCTAGGACCAGTGTTTTATAAACAATAGTGATGAGAAATGCTAAACAAGACCCTGAGATGAAGGTGAACAGGACTAAAATCTGCCCAACTGCAAGTGGAAAGAGAAAGGAATGGAAGCGAATGGATTACTGACCAGAGATCATGGCAGGAACGAGGTCACTCCTGCTTATATTATTACTATAACCATCAAACTGTTTAAACATACAGAATGGCTTTAGACCTGATCCTGCAGCAACTCTAAACTTAGAAACCCCTTAAAAAAAAAAAAGGAAACACACCCGCCCACATCAGTGAGAGTTAAGCACAGAGTGGAGACAGCATCAAACTGAGGGATATAAACCTCAAAGGAACCTGGGCATAGCGGAATGCAGCCTCCAGCTGAGGGAGAAAAACATGCTATGGAAGGAATCCTATTGTGGCAACCAGTTAATGATCCTTTCTCATTTCCCAATCAGATTAACAGTCAAGATCGTTTACAGTGCACTTCCAAAGAGAGAACCGGTTATTGCACTGTCCAAAGAAAATGCAATAAGCTGTCTGCTGAAGACACTGCTTGCTGAGCGCTCCCTTCCTGGTGCCAGGGAGGGAGCTGAAGGAAGAGGTGCAGGATGAAACGTGCTAATAATTATCTTTTAATTTACATGTGCACATTTTTTTAAAAAAAAAAACGAGTGCTCTGAGTCCAGTTGGGTGGGCAGAGCTGTCCGTCCCTTCGCCCCGTGGATTCAGCCTCCAAGCTGGTTGTATGGCACATGTCTGTGAAACCAGGTTCAGCACCTTCACACTTACAGAAACTTCTTGTTCGGCGGAAACTTTACATCAGCCATTCAGTGTTTAAACAATCTGCAGGGATTGACCAAGTCTCTGCACGTCTCCCTCGCCACAAAATGAAGGAAAATGGGCAAGTTGGGGGGAGACCTAAAGAAGGTGCACAAGAGTTGGAAGTTCTGTTAATCTCTGCTTTCCTCCAGGAGGGTTAGAGGAGAGAGGGAGAAATGGCAGGAGCCAGTGGAAGGCAGATGCTCCTGCTGGGTTCACCGGTGGCTCAGTGCTGCTCGATGGGTTGGTGATTTGTCACTTCACTGCTGCTTGGATTTAAGGGATAACCTCTGTACCGTCCTGTAAAGGAGACCAAAGTGCTAGAAAGGGGAGGGGGGGGAAAGAGTAGTGAGTCCATGTCAGTGCTAGCAAACAGGCAATGTGTGTTCTTTTCTGCTCACAGGGAAGAAGGAGCTCGTTAGGAGGCTGGAGGCAGTGCTAGCATATAAATGCAATATCTGCCTCCGGGCTGAGTTCACACCCATATCCCTACCCTAAGGAGAACTCTGCCTCCTTCTGGATAGATCTGCTCAGGGCTTGGCAAACAATGCTCAGTTGTTACAGTACAGCAAATGAAACCAGGGTTCTAAGGAAAGAACAATGAATTACTTACAGAAACGCCCACTGGGCCTGCCTGCATTACCATTATGAACTCCTATTTTCATGGAGAATTGCCATGAGTATTTGCTGTTGATCTGCAATCAGTACTTGTGGAACCTGCTCCGGCTCCAATTGAAATAGATGGCAAAACTCCCACTGACTTCAGTGCATATGATCTGGCCCACTGATAGTAACACTTGGCTTGTAATGATTTTGGGATTGCAAAACCAACAGGTAAAACCACAGATTAAGGCCAACCACTAATCCTTTAACATGGGCTTATCTTTTGCAGTTTTAGAAATCATTGAAAAACCCATGTGATTCCCATTTTCTTTTAAACGGCCACTGCGGATATTCAACAAATACTTGGTTACAAACCCAAACCTTAGCAGTAGCCTCCAAATGACCCATCATCAATCTAGCTAACCAATAAGAAATAAATGGGTGGACAGGACCATTTGAATTATACAACAGTATTTGTGCTTTTCTTTCTATTTAATATGATTGTTAATATACAAAAAAGACATTCATCAAATGGTGGGTGTTTCCTGAAGCATCTAACTTAAAAAAAGAAATGACAAAAGAAAAAAAGGCTTGTTATGAAGCAAGAGGATTAGGTACAGACTGACCCAACATAGTTCCCCCTTTCATTGAGCATTGATCAGGAGTCAGACTCACAATGGTCTCTGTGACACTTCACCCCATATTCTTCATGGTGATATTATTATATGATTATGGCATAGTTAGGATGTATTTTATGCAAGATAGGCCATGTGAGATATCATTGGAAAGGTTATGATTTGCTGAATATGATTATCTTATTTGTAGGCACGTATCATTTTTGTATCTGAAGCTAGGAATATTGACTACGTATCTCTATTACAAATGTGTTTACACCTGGGGAATGCCCACTAGACAAGATGCTTTCATTCTGAAAACCTGGCTGGGGAAGGGCCATTAGCGAAAACAATAGGCCTCAGAAGAAGCTTATCTCCCACCTGGGAGCCTTCCTGAGGCTGCTGCTGCTGCGACGCTACAGGGACATGTGATCAGGTCACCTGGTGCTGGACTCCATCTTGGGATATCAGTGTTTTTCCACTGACTGGCATGGGAACCAAGCTTTGAAACCAAAAGTATTTAAGGCAGGGGAGTGACATCATCGTGGTTCTTCACTGACTCCTCACCCAAAGAGACTTCTGGAAACACCTGAGGAACCAAGACTGAACTGGGAGGGGAAGGGGGAGGAGGAGTGCTGGACCCACTAAAGGGATTTTCAGCCCGTGAATGGAACACCTGGGGATTCCAAGCTGTGAACAAGTGCAGCCTGCCCCTTAAGAATCTGCAACCTGCTTGTATCCTCACTTAGCGTGAGCATTTGCTATTCATATCGGCTCTATGTAGTATAGTAAGCTTAGTTTGCGTGTTTTGTTTATTTGCTAGGTAATCTGCTTCCATGTGTTTGCTATGCCTTATAACAGGGGTCGGCAACCTTTCAGAAGTGGTGTGCGTAGTCTTCATTTATTCACTCTAATTTAAGGTTTCGCGTGCCAGTCATACATTTTAAGAAGTTTTTAGAAGGTCTCTTTCTCTAAGTCTATAATATATAACTAAACTATTGTTGTATGTAAAGTAAATAAGGTTTTTAAAATGTTTAAGAAGCTTCATTTAAAATGAAATTAAAATGCAAAGCCCCCTGGACCGGTGGCCAGGACCCGGGCAGTGTGAGTGCCACTGAAAATCAGCTTGCGTGCCGCCTTCGGCACGCGTGCCACAGGTTGCCTACCCCTGCCTTATAATCACTTAAAATCTCTCTTTTGTAGTTAATAAACTTGTTTTTGCTTTGTCTAAAACCAGTGTGTGGGAGTCATAACTCGGGCAGAAAGCTGTTGTATATTCCTCTCCACATTGCGGGAGGGGATGAATTTCATGAGCTTACGCTGTACAGTTCCCTGTGCAGCACAAGACAGTATCATTTTGGGTTTGCACTCCAGAGGGGGGTGCACGCCTGAGTAGCTGGGAAGCTCCTTAGCTGGAGCCTTCCCATGCAGAGCTGATCACAGCATCTGCATGCAACTGCAGCTGGGTGTGTCCCTACCTGTATGTGTGCTGGTGACAGTGCAGGCTGGTCACAGCAGCACAGTGTAAAGGGAGCCCAGGCTGGTGGGTCACGGGGGCTCAGTAGAACCCCAGTTCCAGGTGGCACCCCGGGGGGAACCCGTCACAGTCTCATTATCGTGTCAAAAGTAATAGCTCCCTGAACCTACGGACAGGCCAACAAGCTTAGAATGTAACGTGCTTGTGAGATAAACTATCACCTGAACTTGTGCTTATTTATTTCATATGTACTGAATTGCTTGGGATGTCTCTTGATTTTATTCATGCAATCATTAAGGTTTCAAAAAATAGAGATTTTGATTTTTATTAATTGCACAAAATCGTAGAACCTTTTGTGCAGTCTGAATTCAGGCATCTGGAGCGCCGATGTTATGCACCTTAGTGTGTGACCTGACCTATCATGGGCTGTAAACTCTTACTACGACACGGCAGATTTAACTCAGATGTCTCAGGGCTGGTCTACATTAGAAGTGCTGCAGCTGCACCACTGTAGCACAGCTGATGAAGACGCTCTATGCCAAGGGGAGAGAACTCTCCCATCGGCATAATAAAACCACCTCCATGAGAGGCAGCAGTTATGTCAGCAGAAGCGCTGGTCACACTGGGACTTAGATAGGTGTAACTTACATCGCTCGGGGGGAGGTGGCTTATTCACACCCCATAGCAATGTAAGTGATACTAACATAAGTGGTAGTGTGTACAAGCCCTTTGCCTGAAGCCCATGCATGCTATTAGAGCTCAGAATTCAAGCTAGTCTCGTAACACATGCAGCATGCGTTTCCCTCACCAATGAAACCCATTGCTCCCCAAGAGAAGGATGCTGCTCTAGGTTAGTTCCACATCAGGATTATGCTCCGGAGCTAGAAGGGAGCTGAATTATGAGCCTGATAACACAGTGAAGACACCCATGGAAGTGAAAACACCAGCACCAGAAGAGTTAATGGGTCGCAAAAATCAGGGGTCCTCTCTCATCCAGAGAAGACTGTCTCTCACACTCTGAGTTTGACCTGAAGGCCACTAAAGCATACCTGGCTCATACACTCTTATAGTTTAAAGAGGAAGTGAATGAATAGAAGGATCACTCCTTTTTTCTCACCTGGACTGCAACATAGGCAACTCCGAGGTAGGCTACTATACAGAGAGCCAGGAGCAGGTCAAAGATTGCTGGCTTGACCCTGAAATGGACCGACAAAGGGTGAGGTCACCAAAGGAGCTGAGCAAGATGAAATACCCAACCCTGCCTTAGACGAAATACCCAACCCTGCCTTAGTACATACCTGTATGCGTTCATCACTTGCTTCAACTGGTCGTAGAAAACAAACTCAGGGTCCCTGTGGAAAGAACGAGCTCTTCAGATGGTGCGACATTTCTGGGCATTGGTTCCAGAGGAAATAAAAACAGCCCCAGAACTCACTCATCTCCTGTCCCCCTCGCCACAGAAACAACCAACCAGTGACAGGCAAAGCTTGACAGCTTCACATACCCCTTTAAGCCAGTTTACAGCTCTCAGCAGCTACCCGGATAAACTAGTACTCATCACCCATCCCAACCAGAGAGAGAACCTTGGAAAGCCGAACCCCATTCTCAGGGGGCTGCAAAATGCTGTTTACTTACACACAAGAACAAGACTCTTTGCCCTCCATTTCCACACAAATTTTCAGCTGTCTCAAAGAGCAGATGCCCTGGAGACACCGCACTGGCTCACGAGCATCTTCATCCCAAGCAGCTAAATCAGGACGAGAGACTGCCTTGGTTTAAAAGCAGGCAATGCTCTCCTGGCGCCAGGAGACTGCTGCTCCTCTCTCACTGCCTTCAGACCGGGTACAGCATATCTAACCAAGTGGACTTCTGGAGAAGGAGGGGGCTGACCAGTGAAAAAAACAAACCCTCCCTCTTCACACTGATGAAGACAAGACTAATTATGCCCACTGGAATTCCTGGGAGTTCCTTAGAGAACTTCCTGTTAGAGAGTAAAGCACATGTGGCCAGACGGTACAGGTGCAGCAGGAAATGGGGGGTACAGTCACCCCACACGCTGAGGAGAACACCTGAGAAGCTGCTACTCTTGGAGGAGACAGGAATGCAATGACGGGGGAAGTCAGTTTAAGCATGTCAGGAGCAGACCAAATTTTCTCCCCCTCTCCATTCACCTGCCTCCCTTACCGTTTATCTGCCTTCACATGATGCTGCTTGACATCCTTCAGATAGCGGCTCATGTAATATTCTAAGGTGTTGAGGAAGGTGCTGTCTTTATCTACAAGCTGGGCCGCTCTGGGCTGACTGGTCAGCCAGTCCATCACGGACTCCAGCTGCTGCTGCTGGATCTGCTGCAGAACGAGGATACCAGAGAGAGAATTAGACAAACTTATGCTGCTGATCAAAGGTCTGTAGAGCACTTCACTCCCTCTCCCCACCAGGCTACGTCTATGCCCCCCTGCTCCCTTACCATCTGCTCTGTGAAGATCTGCAGGTCAGCAGGCGCCCCCTGCGAAGAGAGAAAAGGGATGCAGTTGCGAAAGCAGGCATGGTGGTTTAGAACTGGAAAGTCCTGGCCAATGGGCAGCGGGTGCATGTTGGGGGGGACAGTCTTACCTTCTCAGTGAGGTTGTAGATGACCCGAGTCAATGCCTCAGCAATGATCCTGGTGTTACGGGTTAGAGTCTTAGAGTCAACTCGTGACCTACAAGAGAAGGGAGGTGTAAATCTGGCTACGGTAACAGCTTCCTCTCAGGAAAGCTCTTTTCACTGCATACAACGATGGTGAAACGTCATCCATAAAGGAGGAAGCAGAGGGCGCCCAATCAAGACACAGTTATAGACCCAACACTCCCAGCTCTTGGTCTTGATTTCTCAGGGTTCCTGATGTGCTAACACCACTTGAGAAAGTTAAGACACTGGAACAATCATGCTTATAAAGTGCCTCTCGCCCACATGTCCATTCAACAACTGGTCTTCTGCTGGCGCCCTCCCCTCAGAGCCACTGACCTCAAGTCCATGATGCTGTTGCGCAGGCCGTCCCTGTGGCTCTCCAGGTGGGAGATGGTGAATGCAGGCAGGCGGCGGATCGCAAAACGCTCATGCTCCCATGCCAGCATGTCCTCAGCCAGGTTTATCTTCTTGTGCACCATGGAGAATTTCACTTCTGGAAACTGGCTCGCGACCACCTGTGGAAGAAGCCAAGCAGCCCAGGAAAAGGATGACCCAGAGGTCATGGAACAGATCCCTTCACTTCAGAACACATTCCCCATCCCTCTCAAAACCCAGGCTGGAGTTCTAGTGTTATAGATGGTTACACCTTCCCTCCCTCCGGCCTCATACCCAACAGGGGTATGTTTCTGTCAACGTCCTTCAGGAAGGGTTGGTTAAGGCAGATGCACCCGGAAAATACGTAGCAACCCTCGAAACCTGGCTTACAATATTAAAGCAACATTCTACAGTCACCAAGCTGCCGAGGCAGCCATCTGCCGCAGGAGCTGGCTAGTCACTTTGTACAAGCAAGAAGCTCTAAAAGGAACCATTGTATTAAGGAAAGGGAACTGACGCAGTCTGCTCCACATTGGATTCCTGAATGATAGGTAACTCCTTGCACCAAATCAAGGCCACCAGAAATGAGGCTTGGATGATATCAGGACTTCCTCCCTTCATCTCTTTTAGCCACATTAATTTCACACCCTCTATCCTTTATAGAAGCAGAAGAACTCCCCATAGCAATTCACCCCCAAATGCCCATCCATGCAGCACGTGCACAGCCCACCCTCCCCAACATGCCCAATGAAGTTGATGCTTTTCATTACCATCTCCAACTCCCTTAGAAAAGCATGCTGCAGGGTCCCCTCCTTGGGAGGTTTTGAGACGTGGAGGTAAAGACTGTTCCCTCTACCCAGGGTGTCAAGGCACAGAACAAACGCCACGTTATCCTGCAGCAAACTGGAATCTGAAACAAATGCAGCCAAACCCATGAAACGCCACTCCACGCTTTCGGGGCTAGACACATGTGCAGGACATATGGAGAAGAGATCTCCCAGCATGGTCAGGTATTACAGCTGCACAGTAAGGAGGCCAGTATGCACCCTGTACTCCTCTTACAACAGCTGCAACACAAATAGCATGGACGACACTTTACCATATATACCTTATAAGAGTGGTTCAGTACGGATTCAGCTGATATTAAAAGCCCATTCAACAAAACAAAACATGCACATAGGCAAAAATGGATATCTTCCATCTGAGGATCTCAAAGTGCCTTACCCCAATATTAATCCTCATAATCCTGTAGGAATAGATCAGTAACATTATCTTGATTATAGAGGGAAAAACTGAACCATCCAATGTCACACAGCAAGTCAGTGACAGTCAGGAAGAGAACCATCTCCCAATCCCAAGTCATGCTAGTCTGGGATTCCTTTGTGCATACTCACAGAAGATAATGGTTTCTCTCTGGAATGTACATTTGCTGGAGGAGTTCACTGCAGGCCCATTTTCCTAGTCCTGACGCACATACTTCTCATGTCCCTGGCATTTCCCTCAACCATACAGCCCCAAGAGAATCACATTCTCTCCAGAGAGCACAGAACACATACAGCGATCTAATCTTTGGCCTGCAAATGGCATCACAGTCTCTGAAGTTAGTTTACCCACCCCACTCCCTACCCTAACTTATCACAGCACAAATAGTGGATGCTTTCACTGCTGAAGTTGCTCCACCCAGCTAAGCCTGCAGGACACTCTGCTCCCATCCTAGGTGTCTGTCTCACCTGTGTGATCCAAGTTGTCTTCCAACCACCTCTTGGTTCCTTGATAGTTAAATTTACCGCCTCCAGATGCAAAGAACAACAGATTATACCTGCCCACCAAGAAACAGGGAAAATATAGTTAGCAGAATTGACTTCTTGGCTGTGGTGGCAGCATGCCCAGCATCAGGAGAAGTAAAGAAGGACAGGGCATGGAATCCAAGTCGAATTTTGCCCAAAGACTAACTTTTGCGCATTACTATGAGCTGTATACTGTTAAGCACCCCTGAGTAAAATCATGAGTGTTTTTACTTTATATACCATATGCACTTAACTGCAACATCTATACAGGAATATGATCAAATCCACATCCTAACAGAACAGAAGGCAAGGAAATGCCTGCTGGAACACACAGTTCTTACTGAATATTTGGCACTTCTGTACTTTTACATTTCCAAGGCACTCTACAGACATTAACTAATCCCCTCTCCCCATCGCTCTGTGTCTCTAGCCTCACTTTGCTGATGGGGAAACCCAAACACACAAGTTAAGGAACTTGCCACGGGCCACACAGCAAGACAGTGGCAGAGCAGGTATCAGAGCACAAGAATTCCTGGCTCTTATCCTACCCTCAAGTCCACTAGATGATGCAGCCTCTGCCTTGCACAAAGCAAACTGATAAGCCACTGCAAGGAGAAGAAAGGAAAGAGCATGATATTTCATCTTTTTTCCAACACATCTGCTGTTCGTGAATTATTAGTTTTATTTCCTAACAGAGCTTGAGATAAAAGCACACAGGCAGCCTGGTTTCACCCTGCCAGCCCTGTCACTGTGCTAAGGGACTTTGCACGTAGAACACTTCACAGCTGCAGGATTGTTCACAAGTTCCTCTGACAGACAAAACCCCTTCCACGCGCCCACTCCCGCCCGTGCTCTCCGATGGAGAGTGCAGCTTCTTACCCAGCATGGGTACGTTTGTAGGTGTAGAGTCGAGAAAAGAGCCTGGCTAGCTCCAGTAGCCCAGAGATGCCACTGCCATTGGAGTCTGCACCATGAGACAGCCACTGCAGGAAGAGAACGGGAGACATAAAGACAAGGCTTCATGACCGTGCTCACCCACCCCACAGAGAACAGCTTCCACTGCAACACACTGACCTCACAGGCTCCTGCGGAAAGCACACTCCCTCCCGCCCCAACAGCCAGAGGGTGGAGAAGAGACAGGGATACGGGTCCCAGGAAGTAACCCATTAACAGAAACAGAGAGCTCCAAGAAAAATAATACTTACTGGGGCCACTCCGAAAGAATCATAATGGGCAACTATTACAATGGTGGGCAGGTCCTCTCCTCCCAGACCAGTCAGCCTCCCCTAGGGATGGAACACATAGGAGCATTACCCAGCATCCCCTCATAGAATCTCAGGGTTGGAAGGGACCTCAGGAGGTCATCTAGTCCAACCCCCTGCTCAAAGCAGGACCAACCCCAACTAAATCATCCCAGCCAGGGCTTTGTCAAGCCGGGCCTTAAAAACCTCTAAGGAAGGAGATTCCACCACCTCCCTAGGGAACCCATTCCAGTGCTTCACCACCCTCCTAGTGAAATAGTTTTTCCTAATATCCAACCTAAACCTCCCCCACTGCAACTTGAGACCATTACTCCTTGTTCTGTCATCTGCCACCACTGAGAACAGTCTAGATCCATCCTCTTTGGAACCCCCTTTCAGGTAGTTGAAAGCAGCTATCAAATCCCCCCTCATTCTTCTCTTCTGCAGACTAAACAATCCCAGTTCCCTCAGCCTCTCCTCATAAGTCATGTGCTCCAGCCCCCTAATCATTTTTGTTGCCCTCTGCTGAACTCTCTCCAATTTTTCCACATCCTTCTTGTAGAGTGGGGCCCAAAACTGGACACAGTACTCCAGATGAGGCCTCACCAAGGTCGAATAGAGGGGAATGATCACGTCCCTCGATCTGCTGGCAATGCCCCTACTTATACAGCCCAAAATGCCATTAGCCTTCTTGGCAACAAGGGCACACTGTTGACTCATCCCCTCCTGCATCACTCTGTTGCCTGGAGTACAGGGGCACAATAGACCACTCCTAACCATCACCCAGTCAATTTCTAACAGCCTCAGTGCTGAATCATACTCCCATTGACTTCCAGTACTGAGCCATTAACCAGCTTTCTGGCTTCTGAATCCAGAAAGGTAGAAAAGCTGCCTCTATGATGCGGCTGAAAAATCTCCGATTTCCTCTGAGGCGGCTTTAACTTTCAGTCTTTAGAAACACACAACTCAGTGAAGTCCCCATACAGAAAGGGCTTTCCGATAAACATTACCAGCCTAGATCCCAGTTCTGATCCATCTAGAACTCACCTCCAGGCTGGTTATGAGCCAGTCACTGACAGCTTTGCTCTGAGCCCCACTCGTAACCATCTGGAAGCCGTTGGCAGTCGCCGTGTGCAGCAGAACTAGAAAAAAGAATTCAATATACTGACACTGGAAGTGTGGGAGGGAAATCTTATCACTTTAATTCCCTTGATGGCTGATGAACAAAGAATCTAGCTTTGTCAAATAAGCCCATAACTTCTCCGGCTCACTGTTTATATTTCCACATCTAGTGACAAAGCAATTTAATTCTGTACAAAAATCTCAATACTTTGAACTTCTACAGCAACTTTCACCCCAGGATCCAAAAGCTGTTACAAACAATTAAGCCCAACGCTCTTGACAGATAGGTAAATATTAAAGCAATTTACAGTGGAGTAAACTAAGGTACTAAGTAAAAAGCAACAGAGGGTCCTGTGGCACCTTTGAGACTAACAGAAGTATTGGGAGCATAAGCTTTCATGGGTAAGAACCTCACTTCTTCAGATGCAAGTCATCTTGGTACTAAGTGTTTAAGTTACTTGCCCAAAGACAGAGTGATCAGTGGCCCAGCCAGGAATAGGGCCAAAGAGTTGTGACTCACAGTAACCTGCTATAGCCACTTAGAAAAAACAACTTTCCACCAAATTGTACTGAATTTGGCCCCTAGGCTGTTGCAAATGAGATGAAACAGAAATAAGGATTTCTATGGAACTAGGTTCCTAAATCATGTCACTCCAAGTAAAATAATAACTTGGCCCTTATACAGCCTTTTCGTCCACAGATCATTATCTCCAATTTGCAGATAGGGAAAGTGAGGCAAAGAAAGATTAAGTGATCTGTCCAAGTGACACATTAGGTGAGCTGGGAACAAAACGCAGGACTCCTGGGGTCAACCGCCTAGCCACTAGATCACATTGCATCTCCAGAATTTTGTGGAAACCTTTGCCTACCATTCTTAGGGACACCTGACTGAGGAACATTATTATGGCTCATTTTCTTCCTTTCAAACCCCCCTTTCGCAGCAACTCACCTTCAGCAGCTGAAGCTGAACCCTGTGATGTAGAAGCAACCTGTGTTTGTTCATAGATGGAGAGCAGCTCTTCATCCTCTACTGCAAAATAGACCGGCACAATGGTTTCCATGGCCAGCATTTCTGGCTCTATCTCCATGAATTGCTGAGAAGTTAGAAGGAGAGGGGCACACTTAGGCTCCATTGAACTTACAAGAAGGCAGGCGTACTAATGGCCAAAGCAGAGGGGCATAAGTCAAAGTTTTAAACTTAACCTTGACAGAGTAAAAACCCCGTCAAACCACAATTGGGAGTTTCAGTCACTATATTGTACCTGAATCTTTGCTCCCTTTCTCCAATAACAGCATCTCTCTGTCTGGAGCGATATTTACCCTGACAACATCCTGCGGCAGCGCTGACATGGCCTTGGGCAAGATGATCACCACGGCCCCAGCTGACTGGCGGAGAGCCTTCTGGTACTGCTCATACGAGAAATCCACTAGCCGCATCATCACGCAGCGGCGGCTCAACACGTCCGCCTCTACAGTGCGGGCCTCTGTGTTTAACACTGCATTCCTGGTGCCTGCAGGGAAGGAGAAGAGGATGAGATCTAGCCGATGGTCTTGTCAATACCAGCATCCTGTTCCCAGAACACTCTCCATGCTAACCAGCCTTGACTATCTCCACAGTCATCAACAGAGACAGGTATTTGTAATCACTTAAGTTATTCCTTTCTCCCTTCCCCATTCCTTTTGAACACCTTCAGTTTTCCCCCTTTCCCCTGTGGGACACACTAATCATCTGCCCCTGGGATCCTAAGCCCACAATGGGCACGTTAAGAGACAGTCACTGTGCACTCATCTACACCGGTTACAACCACATTTGTAGAACCATATTCTGACATGCTCACCTGACTGTTACTGATACAGTACACGCAAACCCACACAGCACAACGATATATGAGATCTGTTTGCTTCTCTGCACCTACCACCTATGTCAGTACCAGTGCTTTCTGGGAAAATCTGGGCAGTGGGTTGTTCAGGCAACTGCATCCTCTGGCTTTGCGAATAGCTTCCCTGAGAGCACAGGGATCAAGCTGAATGGAAATGCCAACAGACAGCGCAGTCTGAGATAATATATGAAAAGGTGTTGGCTATACATGCATAACTTATTCAGAATATAAAATCGGAAATTTGGAATTGTGGAAAATTGATAAGGGAAGCAAAGGGACACAAGGAGAAATCTATGTTCAGCAGAGTTAAGGACAAAAAGGAGTTCTTTAACTATATTAGGAACAAAAAGAATCCCGACAGTGGCATTGGTCCATTACCAGATGGAATTGATAGAATTATCAATAACAATGCAGGAAAGGCAGAAGTGTTCAATAAATATTTCTGTTCTGTATTTGGGGAAAAACATAATATAGTCTCATCATATGGTAATGATAACACTCTTTCCATTCCACTAGTATCTCTGGAGGATGTTAAACAGAAGCTACTAAAGTGAGACATTTTTAAATCAGCAGATCCAGATAAATTGCATCCAAAAGTTTTTAAAAAGCTGGCTGAGAAGCTCACAGGGCCATTAATGTTGATTTTCAATAAGTCTTGATGCACTGGGGAAGTTCAAGAAAACTGGAAGAAAGCTAATGTTGTGCCGATTTTTAAAAAGGGTAAACGAGATGACCCAGGAAATTATAGGCCTGTCAGCCTGACATTGATCCCTGACAAAGATAACAGAGTGGCTAATACGGGACTTGATTAATGAAGAATTAAAGGAGGATAATATAATTAATGCAAATCAACATAGGTTTATGGAAAACAGATCCTGTCAAACTGACCTGATATCTTTTCTTGATGAGATTACAAGTTTGATTGATAAAGGTAACAGTGTTGATATAATATATCTAGACTTCTCTAAGGCGTTTGACTTGGTACCACATGACATTTTGATTAAAAACTAGAACGATATAAAATTAACATGACACACATTAAATGGATTAAAAACTGGCTAACAGATAGGTTTCAAAATTAATTGTAAACAGGATATCGCCATCAAGTGGGTGTGTTTCCAGTGGGGTCCAACAGGGATCATTTTTTGTCCCTATGCTATTTAACATTTTTATCAGTGGCCTGGAAGAAAAAGAAATCATCACTGATCAAATTTACAAATGACACAAAAATTGGAGAAGTGGTAAATAATGAAGAGGACAGGTCACTGATTCAAAGCTATCTGGATCACTTGGTACACTGGGTGGAAGCAAACAATGGGTAAATGTAAATGTATACATCTACAAACAAAGAATTAGGCCACACTTATAGGACGGGAGACTGTATTTTTAAGTCAGTCATGCCAAAAAGGTGCATGATGTCAGTATTTTTAAGTCAGTCAACATGCTTGAACATGGCAGTACCCCAATTCACATTAGTCTTGCCTGCATGGATCGTGAAGGTCAGGGCTAGCCCTGCTTACATGGTTACTTGTCTACAGAGGAAAGGCCAAACCTCTTTACAATGTAAGCACAGGGTTTTTTTTACTGTTCATGTCCCAATGATGGCAGCGCATCCGGGAACTGCATTACACCTTTACACAACAGCGTTTAAACATGGTCTTTGTTAGCAGAGTTCCACCACAGTTTCCCTGAGCAGTGGGAACGTTTTTATTCTTCCTGAGTGCTGCATTTCATGCCCCACTGCATGAAGATACATAGTGCAGCGTGTAATGCAGCCTCAGTCCCGCAATCAGATCCATAGAGTTTATGGTCAGAAGGATCATCTAGTTTGGCCTTCCGTATAACACAAGCTATAGAATTTTCTCTAGTTACCCCTGCTTGAGCCCAACTAGTACAGACCTCTGCCCCTGCACAGACACAGGGATCTACACCAGTGGATCAGATTGCATGATCAGAGGGGCCTATATCTATAATACACCTCCCAGACAAACAAATCTCCCCATGCTCATCAGGAAAACCATGCAACAATCCCAAGAGCAACGACTGTTTACATGGTTGTAACTAGCATATTCTGTTCCCAGCATGGATCTCAGTTAGATGTTGCTGCAGTGTGAGCTCAACATTGTTTTCTTTGATACTACAAGAAAGAGCTACTTTTTGTAATTTCTCAGAGACAAATGAAATATGTATATAATTATTTATAATCTGAAGGACTCTATTTTAATAAAATTAGAAGCAAATCAAACTCTGTTCTTAACCTGCTTCAGGCTCAATCTTTTTAAAAAAAACCTAGTTGATCCCATTGGAAAGAAATTTGAGAGTTTGGAACAACAAAAAGCTTTTGCCCCAAAGGACATCTGGCCTCAGAACACACACAGAATGGGAACATTAGCTACCCAAAGCGTTTTGCAAGGGATAAAGAGAAGACACAATTCACTTAGCTAACCAGAAAAAGAAACAGCATTAAAAGTTAATCGCAGGCATCTTAAAAATCAATATACTGCTTTTCTAAGAGTCCGAGAACTCGGAATCAGAGAGAGCTGTTGTGAACACTTGCTTGGATTTAATATTCTTACAGCTGAAGTCAAAGCCAACTGAAATTTGTGCACAGTGCCTCCTATTAAACCTGCCAGCGAAGACTTATTGCAGTCTGAAGAGATCTAGGTCAGTATCTCCACGAGAGAACACAGCTATGACCTAATGAAGTTCTCAAGAATGGAGGTTTGAACATTGGCAATGATTAAACTCTAGTTCAAAAATAATCACAAGGATCCAGTCCATTCATATATTCCATAGGCCAAAATCCGACTAGGGGTAGAATTTACAAGGCACATAGATCTAGCGAACACTGTTTCGCCTTTAGTGCTGTTTAATCTTATGGAATTTCAGAAATATCTAGAGATTCAATCCCCAAAGTTCTATGACATGAATCTGGGGCTGGATCAGGGATACCTAAGTATTTCTGGATGTCTGAAGCTTTAGACCACAATGACAAAAAATTGTAAGATCCACACAGGAGCAGAATATAAACCCTAATTTGGAAGAAGATCACTAGGAACAGAGCCCTTAGAAACCATACCTTGGTTCCATGTTATTCAGCATTTGAGAAGGGAAAAGGTTATAACATTTAAGAAATTCATGATGGATATTATATTTCTGACTCAAGACAAGATGTTGAGCAACCAATAAGAACGTAAAGTTCAAGAACATCAGGACTAAGAGAAAGATGAGGGAAATGTAATGTGAAGAAAGGGCTGGGGAATAGATTGGAGAAGGGACTAGAACTTTCAGACCAGGGAGCAGTGAGGCATATGTCAGGAGGAAGGAAAAAAGTGAAAACTGAATAGCTCAGGAAGGAGGAAAGTTGACCTCTAAACAGAAAGGAGAGGACAAGTCAAAGGCATATGAACAGAACAATTTAGGTGCCAAATTCTTCAACATAAGAGACTGCAACTCTACTGAAGCCAGACCAGGGCTTAAACCAGGGCTGGATTTAGCCCTAGGAGTGGGAGAAGAACTTTGTAATAATAGAACTGAGCTATCTGCAACATTGAAGTGTTGTGCAAGAGGCACCCTGGTGCAGCATTACAGGAAACTTCAGTTGCGGCCAAGCAGCCAGCGCTCACTTGCTCGGTGACCTCTGGAGATGCCCTTAACCCTTCTCCTGGCTTCTGTTAAAGCAGCTGTAAATCTGGGTGAAAAGTAAAAAACCTCATTGGAAGCCAGATGCTAAATCTAAGCTGGGTTCCTCAGCTAAATGAAGTTAGCAGCACAGACAGGACATCAGCTGATTTATGACAGCGATTAAAGCCTGTGGGGGGTGGAAGCAGGGAAGAGAGAAGCCCCCACACAGTGCTCACCGGAGACCATATTGCCAAACAAGGGGCTTCCTGTACGGGCCACAGCCAGTGGAGCGCAAAGCCATGTCCAGAAGCTGGTGCTTGAAGTACTGCCCCGTTCTCCGACAGAGCCCTCTATGCCCAGTGGCACTTGTTCGTTTCATTAGGCCAAAGCAGTCAACGGAAAAAGTGGCTGAGCCCCAGGTGAGGGTGAAGCAAGGCTGCCATGGGATGAGACCTGGCAGGATGTGCCAAGGCAGATACCGTGGTGACAGGTCAGGTGGGCATCAGGGCAGGCCTAGGATAGACAGATCAGGGGGCAGAGCCGAGCCGAGCCAGGCCAGGCGGGGGGGAGGGAGTCCGGGGCTCACTCACCGTAGGGCTGCCCCGGGGCTGTGGGGGCGGGCCCGGGGAAGCCGGGCCCTGGGGGGGCGGAGGGGGGAGCGGGGGTAGCCGAGCCGGGCCTGGCCGGGCCGGGCCCGGCGCTCACTCACCGTAGGGCTGCCCCGGGGCTGTGTGTGGGGGCGGGGAAGCCAGGCCGGGCCGGGCCCGGGGGGAGCGGGGAAGCCAGGCCGGGCCCGGCGCTCACTCACCGTAGGGCTGCCCGCCCAGCTCGTACTGCTGCATGCGATAGACGGTGAACTCGTGGGCGGCCTCGGCGGCGGGCGGCGGCCCCAGCAGCAGCAGCACGGCCGGCACGAAGAGCAGGAAGCTGAGCGGCAGGCACGAGGCCTTCAGCACCGACTCCAGCACCTCGCCCGCCTCTTCCAGCATCGCCCCGGCTCCCTCACACCCGGCCACCCGCCGCAGCCTGCAGGCACCGCACGGACAGCCCGGCTGAGGGGGCCTCGCCCGCAAGCGCTCACGGGAGATGGAGTCCTGCCAGGGGGAGGGGCCCGGATGGGGGCGGAGGCCTAGCCCCGGGGGCTGCTGGGAGTTGTAGTCCTCTATAGGCGCGTTCCTTGCCAGGGCTGCTGGGAGTTGTAGTTGAAATACTTTCCTCATGGAAAAAGCAACAGAGAGTCCTGTGGCACCTTAAAGACCAACAGATGTATTGGAGCATAAGCTTTCGTGGGTGAATACCCACTTCGTCAGACGCATGCCAGACCCAGACTAACACGGCTACCCCTCTGATACTTTCCTCGTGGAGTGTATTTTAAATGGATACCCTGCCATAAATTCTCAGTTACTGAGGGACACTCTCCACTCATTGCTACATTTGCTTTCCACAACCAACTCTCTGTATAACTTTTCATGAGTGACGTAGCCGAATACTTGGATGCTAATATATAAACTGTATTCTTAAAATGTATTCACCTAAATTGGGGTTATTGCTGATTATGCACTATATGCAGCTTATGATTTTAAAAACAAACTTTGTATTTGTGGATAATCTAAGCACTATACCCTGATATACAGACACTCTTTTCTTAACCTGTCTGCTATATAATTTTTTAACATTAGCTTTAATAAAATATTTACCGAGAGCTGCAAAGGGTGTTTGGAGTTGTAGTATTTCCAGGATCTGTTGCAAGGGCTGCTGGGGGATGTAGTCCTCTCACACCCTTCTCTGTTTAGTTTCCCCCCACCCACTGGCTCAGCTGGTTAAGCCACCATCAGTTTCATAGCCAACAGCACAGGAGAGAGTGATGTGGTCAGCATCCCGTCCGTCCCCCTTTGGCTGCCCAAACCCAATGGATCGGGTACCCGATTCGCAGCGGGGTAAACTGAGGTGGCCTTTCAGTGTGAGATTGTTAAATTCACGACCTTCAGGAGCATAGTCAAGTGCCTCAACCACTCAGTCACTCCGCCTCATGCGCAATGCACCATCTTGCCAATAGGGAGGGTGGCCACTCACACATTCCAGGATCTTCAGGAACAGCCTGGGCCTGACCCCACCTCGTTGTTGTGATCTCACACGCACGGTGTGTATGAGGTCATGCCACACAGATGGGGTGCCCTTTTGAAGACAGCTCTGCCCCATCCCTGCTGGAATGACCTGGCACGGATGGCATGTGCAAGGTCACACCGGTGGAGGGATGCTCTTCATTACGACGTCCCCCATTTGACACTGGACAAAACCACAGCCGGTTTTGGCTGAGTATCAGGTAGGGGACAAACAGCAGAACAGCAGAACTGTTCAGTTTCAAACCGGACAAATGGCCTGTCTACTGATAGGCCTCACCTCTGTTTCATAGACACAAGCTCCAGGGCCAGGGCTGAATCATTACTCCGCATGGACTATTTAGAGGCACCTTACAATGAGGACCAGTTAGTGGAGGTGTATTTTTAGCAACGGGAGCACCAGTCCATCACACTTAGTACCCACCAAATACTCATTTCACACAAGCCGCAAACAGCCATCAGATAACAGGGATGTCCATTTACAAGCTTGGCTGGTTTTGACCAGTGACCCAACAGGAAGGGCTCTGTCTCCCAGACCCCTGAGTCATCCCATCCCCTATTTGGGCAGCTGGGCCTATGAGAATTCGTGGAGGTTATACACAGTGAAACCCATGAAAGAAAACACTCAGTAAACTGCCACCTGTCTAAAGAGTATTTCCAAAACACACAAAGGATCATTCTGCCCCCCTCTCCCCAAACTAGTGATCAGATAGCGATGGGTACTAAATACAAAACCCTGAGATAGAGAGAGATTTAACAGGCCAATTTTATTTAAACAGCTGATTTTTGTCAATCCCTTGAGTAGTCACTCAAATCAGATTTTGCTGTAGTTTCTTTCCGGGGATCCCAGGTGCTAATGTAATCTGGTTAAAAAAACAAAACAGATCACCAATTACTAATTCTTAGCCTAGAGGCCCGGAGAGAGTCAGGAGTGTCTTTTCCACTGGCCTAAGCTGTGGTAGCTG